ATTGGTGTTGTTATTATTATTGTTGTTGTTGTACTATTGTCGTTTATAATTTGTACAATTAACCTCCTTGTGGTTCGACCCCGGTCTTGCTGGGGTTATTTATTACTTCGACACTCCTGTACTTGGGAGAAGACAACAATTTTTTTGTCGTATCAAGTTTTTGGCGTCGTTGTTGGGAAGGTAAGTACTTATATAAATTATAGTTTTTATTTTATTTTTTCTTTTCACTTTTCTTGTATATAACTTTGTCTCTTTTGTTTTGTTTCATCTTATTTTGTTTTCTTCCTTCTTCTTTTGTTTTCTTCTTCATTTTATTATATCCCTCCACGTGCATGAGAGTGTGGTCACGTACATTAAGTGGTAGATTTTGTAGGGTATCCTCATCATTTTCAGAAAATATGGCCGAAGAAGATAATCAATCACTTCATAATGAGAATAATGAGAATAACCGTGTTAGAACACTTAGAGACCACATGAATCCTACAAGAACAAGTGCACCATCATGCATAGTTTTCCCTCTTGATACATCTCATTTTAATTTTAAACCAGCTATTATTCAACTTTTACCTTCTTTTCATGACATAGATTTAGAAAATCCATACTTGCATTTAAGGAAATTTGAGGAGGTCTGCAACACATATAATAATTTAAATTGTAGCATGAACACCATCAGATTAAAGCTTTTTCCTTTTTCATTAAAAGATAAAGCTAAAACATGGCTACAAAATGTAAGACCAAGATCCATTCGTGCTTGGGATGAAATGCAACAACAGTTTTTATAGAAGTTTTTCCCATCTCATATAACAAATTCTTTCAAAAGACAAATCACTACTTTCACTCAAAAACCAGGAGAAACATTTTACCAATGTTGGTATAGGTATCGAGATTTGCTTAGTACTTGCCCTCATCATGGTTTTGAAACATGGAGATTGGTTTCACATTTTTATGAAGGGTTAACACCTAGAGATAGGCAAATGGTTGAATTGATGTGCAATGGAACATTTGAAGATAAAGACCCTGATGAAGCAATGGAGTACTTAGACTTGTTAGCTGAAAATGCTCAAAATTGGGACACTGCGGGTACGTATGAGGCACCGAGTAAAACTCAACCTCATACATCTAGTGGAGGTATGTACAACCTTAGGGAAGATCATGACCTTTGCTTGACCGCTTTTTATGATCGACTTGTTTTAACTCGCAAGTGCACGAGTGTGCGATGTAGCAATTAACTCGGTAAGATCGAGG